GCTGACCGAGAAGAGAGCTGCAGGACGGGGTGAGAATCAGTTAAATTTCCAGATAAAAAGGAAAAAGCAACCAGAAATCTTGATACACAAGACACAGATGGGAGTATGGGGTGGGGATTAGGTGTCCCAACAGTCACAGATAGCTGTAAGGAGCACCCTAACTCAGAAATGCTGCTCAGCCAACCATGTGCCCTAACAGACGGGGACATACCCTCCTACCCTCCAGCCTTGAAAACTCAGACAACAAAAAGAAACACACGGAATCCCACCAGCAACCCTGCAGCAGGGGAGTCCATCTTCAGAGCATTTCCTCTGAACCTGTCTTAGGGCTCCAGCCACTCGCCACATTTTATCTATTACCACAATTACTTACACTTCTGCCTCCCTCTCGAAGGGGTCAGGATCTGCATCTGAGTCCTCAGTATAACCTCCCAGCACGACGCAGCACACTTTGCACTAGCTGATGCTCAATAAAAATGCACTGAATGGGCGGCTGAGTGGCTCAGTACGTGGGTTCGTCTGAGCCCTCTTTGCAGCAGTTTGCTTGTGGCTAGGAGGAAGCCCCTACTTTACATTTGCAGAGCTGCTAATCAAAACAAGGAACAATTTGGCCAAGCCGTCAGAGGAAAACCACTCTTTCCTAGACTTTCTGACCCGCCCAGCCTACCAATTTATGAGTTTCTGAAAAGCTTACCACTCATGACACAACTTTAATTGCCAAGGACAACTAGGTGAGCTATATGCATGACTGACTGTGAAACTCCACGATCCTCCCTTCCCAGGGGCATCCTGGTCCGGCTCATATTTGGACACATCGCACCTTTTATCTAAATTCCTCAAGTTAAAGCAACCACCCCGATCTGGCCACCGGGGGGCAGTAGAGGGCCGTGGCCGGGAACAGGGGCTCCAGCCCATTCTTGGCTCTCACAGCAGCTGGGTCCTCAGGAGCCCTGGCACTGGGGCAGGCCCCTTAACCCTCCTCTGTAAGCCTCTGTTCCCTCATCTACGAAAGGAGGAATCCCAGGACTCAGCTCCCCACAGGGTGGCGGAGTTAGCCAATGAGCCGACCCCATGATCCCCATAATACAGTGTGTGGTGTGGTGTGGTACCTGATGAACAGTAAGCGCTCGGTCTTTCTGGCCTGTCACTAGCTCTGTCCCCAGAGACTCAGCCTAAGGTGGATAACCCTGACACCAGGACAGGGGCCAGGCCCTGCACCTGGGCACAGCGGCCACACAGAGGGCTTTGAGCTCCGAGGGCTGGCGTGGTGGGTGAACCTACCGCTCTGCTGATGTGCTTCCTGACCAGGAGGTACAGCAGGGGCAGCGTGACATAAGCCAGCATCTCCCACAGCTTCCCCGTCAGCAGCATCCACAGGACGCGATCCTCAGCCTCCAGGTCGATCCAGCACCAGCCCACGGATACGTCTGAGGCGTCATAGCCAATCTTCTTTAGAGTGACAGCCGCCATGGTGATGGCCAACGGAACCCCCCAGCTGAGGGACAACAAAAGAAAGGGGCACCGAGGTCAGGCCATGGTTTCCAGCAACGTCTGCAGGGGCAAAAATGATTAGGGATGCTCTATAGAGAAAGGAGACAGTGCTCCCCCAAGCCTGGCTCAGACAGTGTCCCTGGAAAATAAAAGGGACAGGTATCGCCCTGGGAGCCTGGTTCTAATCTGAATTCCTGGGCTCATCAGAGACTGGCACTAGAATGGTGTGGTCTGGGGACAGGCAGCTCCCAGCACTGCCCAGGCGCCTTCCTGCACCCAGAGGGGCTTGGCTCCAGGGTGCAAACAGCACCCCATGTGTCTGTGCTCACGTACACATGCAGTTAACAGTCAGCACCCCCTCCCCATCAGCGCTCAGGTCCAGGAGTGCACACATGGGTGGCTTGGGATTGCCTGGGCAGAGAAGTCCAGGGTCCCGTGTACCCCCAGCAGGATCTAGAAGGAGGCATGTGGGCTTTGGGCAGGTGCATTCCCTCAGCCCAGAAGACTCCTTGCTCTACAGGAAGGAGGTGTAGCTTGGCGAGGGTCAAAGGGGACGCCCTCTAAGGGCAGTGCCAGGCTCAGTTTTCTAGAGCTCACCCCCCATAGCAAAACAGCTGGAATCAGACCTGAGTCCCAAGGCCCCTTCCCCATAGTCCCCGTACCAGTTTCCTTACAAAGCAACTTAAATCGGTCAGGGGGACACCCAAAAGCTATGTGTGGCTCCTGAGAGAGGAAGCACAGCAGGGCCTTAAGAGATGGGACTTCGACACAACCGGCAGTGCCCAAGGCCTGGCTCTGCCCTCCTTGGGCAAGTTACTTGGCGGCCTCAACATGCCGGTGTTCTTCTCTGCCAGGTGGGCAGCAGGACAGTGCCTGCAGCTGGTTTTCATCGCAGGGCCACTGTAAGACTGAACAAATGAGCACAGCACATGTACAGGGCATAGCATCAGGCAGGTGTGCAGTGGTTGCTGCTGTCACAACTGCTGTCAGTGAGTTATGTCCTGCTGTCCCAGGATGCAGGTCTGTGGTGCAGATGCCAGAGCCACCTGAGGCCCATGTGGTTTCTGTCCCCAGGAACAGGACACAAGTGCCCATGTGCTAGGTCAACTGCCTAGAGAACAAAGCAGTTTGTAAACAGGAATGATACTTTCAGCATCACCAGGAAAATGCTTAGTTCAGAAATTGGTTATATTTTGAGAGCTCTGTGTCAGGAACATTGGCTTTCCGGAAGGACACTGTAGACCAATGTTGAGATCAAAGTTCCAGGTGAATCTGTGGCCACAACTAGGCGAGAAGTGTTGAGCTTTGACAAGGTTCTCCCACATGCCGTGGAGCCAGCAGAGGAGGCAGGTTGGGATGAGGACAGAGAGTCAGCTCCCTGGGACTGGGAAGAACTCTATGCAGGACACTTTCAGAACAGAGGTGTCCTGGTCAACTCTCCCCTCTCCAGCCCTCACTGGCCTCTATGGGGGCAGGCAGGCACGCCAAGGGTCCCCTTTGAAGTCACAAAAGCACAGAAGGGGCAAAAAGACCACAAATGTTAAAGGATTATTAGAGAGGTACCAAGCTATATCAGGAGTTTGTCCATTTTAAATGCTCGTTCTAGCAAAGCTATTTATCTGGTGAGTTAATGTATATCACTGTCAAACTATTTTGTCATAAGAAAGAGTTGTCCTTTTCAAACTCATAACGTCCCAGGATTTCAGGACAACATAAGCCACAGCTACAAGCTCCATTAGGGCCGAGTAGGCTCACTGCCCTAATCTCCAGCCCTAGGACAGTGTCTGGCACAAGCAGGGGCAGACGAAGGGTCTGCTGAGTGAGTGAGTGAATGAATGAATGAATGAAGTTGGAGCCTAATGACCGAGACAACATTCCCCGAGCCACTCCTTAAATACTCACCTCAAGGACATTATTGAAAAGGGGGTAAAAGGCCTTTAAAGTGCTGAAACCCAGTCCTAAAGTTATAAGGTGCTGTTTCTCATCATCACTTTACGGTTTTCAGGATTCCTTAGAGGAATCCTGGGAAGGGGAAAAGCACAGTCACCCTGAAGGAGGCTGACCCTGAGCCGAGTCTCACGGCAGCAGAGGATTCCCATGCCAGCGGGGCAGGGCGTGGCAGGTCGGAGGTCGGCTGTGGGCTCGGCTCTGGCGGCGGGCAGTACTCCCTCACGTTTCCTGTGCATCCTGATGGATCTTACAGGAAACCTGGGGACTGCCCGTGACAGACCCGCACTCTGTAACTACAGGCGTGTAGGACAAAGCCACAAAGTGATATATTGCCTCTGCATCACTGGGGGTTAAGAGTATGGACTTGATCAATAGGGAGAGGTTGTTTCAACTTGAGCGCAGACAGCAGCAGCTTTGCTGGGGCCTGAAGCCGCTTGGAAGATATTTAAGCGGGAGGTGGTGAGAGGTGGTATCGGGAGCTGGTGGGAACGGAGTGGGAGGAAAGGTCCAATGACCCCACAAAGCAGGCCGGCCAGACTCGTCAACTCATGGGTGTGAACAGGGCTGTGCTGGCAACATTTCCCAACAGGCTCTCCAGAAAAATGCAGATGTATGCAGGTGCGTGTGAATGTACATGTGCATGCACGTGTAAATTTATTGTAAGTTTCACTGGTACAAAGGATGTGTAGCGCACGATGACAGATGATAATAAAGCACATGACACCCCTTGTGGTCGACTCTGTGCAGCCGATCGACTCTCACAGACGCTGCTGTGGATTTTGGCCGAACCCCGGTGGCCACAGCCAACTGTGGAAGTGACTGGCAGTGGGGAGCAGTTCTGTGACATGAAGTTGGTGACGTTTCCATCTTCCTTGCCAGGTAAGATGGAAGTGAAATGAGGAAGACACAGAGAACGAGACAGATGTCGGAACTTCACGGGAGGGTGACATGAGCACCTTCGTTGCTGAATCGGGTACGTTCCCCACCCTGGAGGACCTGCCTCGGTTTTTCTGCACCGTGACGCTGCTTCTCCTCATCCCCTCCCATCAAAAACTCAGCCTCCTGCCTGCCCCACCGTGGCTGCCACCTCTGCCAAAGCTCAGCGACAGGAACACTTTTTTTTTTCCTTTTTGTCTTTTTTCGTGTCCGGCAACGGATCGCAACCCTCAGTGTCGCGCCCGTACCGGACCGGGACCGGCAACGGGATCGCAACCCTCGGTGTTGCTCCCGCACCTCGCTCAGCCAGTGAGCGGGAACCGGTCTGTATGTGGGATCCGAACCCTCGGCGGCAGCGCTGCCACGTTCCCAAGCGGCGCACTGTAGCAGTGCGCCACCGGGCCAGCCCAACAGGAACACTTTTAAGTTTAATTTGTACTATTAACATTTTCTCCATCACTTTCTTAAGTCTAGACCAGGAGTCCGGCAAACTGTGCCCGTGGGCCAAATCCAGCCCAAGGTCTGTTTTTTTTAAATAAAGTTTTACTGCAACACAGCCACAGCCATTCACTTACATATTGCCTATGGCCGGTTTCCAGCACAGCTGAGCAGTCACAGCTGACACCACATGTCCCACAAAACTGAAAATACTTTCTGTCTGGTCCTTCACAGGAAAAGTTTGCTGACCTCTGCTCTAAATAATCCACAAAGCAGTAAATCAAGCCCTGATTTCAAGTGTTTGCCAAATTCCATGGTGTAATACTCCCACCACGGCCAATTTCAAGCCACCAACAGAGGTCTCTGGGCACAGACGTGCGATGGCACACCACTCTACAGTATCCCCACCCACAGGTACAACAGACACGAACAACCTCGAGCACACAGAGATAGTGAGATAATTAGGATGAGCTTTGACACTTTCCCACTTCTGTTTCTATCATAATTTAATGTTTGATAATGGTTATATCTAACAATTGACTCACAAAATTCCCTAAAATGTAGCAATCGGATCTCTCGAGCTGGCTCCAAGACCCCACTGGACAGAGGGTGAGAAGGTTAAGGAACTGAAGGTGGCCTGGTCAAGATGGTGGAATAGACGGTCCCCAGCGTCACTCGCTCCCACAAATCAATGGATTTACAACTATAAAAATGTGACAATAGCCAAGGGGCCTCTGGAGCTCAGGTGAAGAAGAGGAGAGACCTGTGGAACTCATGAAGGCGGGAGAAACTACGATGAGAGAAAGAAAAAGCTGCTCTGAGCATTTCGGGCTGTGGCTGCTTTAATGCTGGGCACATGGAGCAGGAGCCGGCAGAATCCACAGCTGTGCCCTTCAGATGGAGTTACTTGGAGACAGCAGGGGAGAAGAGGGCCTTAGCGGCCCCCAGGACAGCAAGACCACTAATAGGGTTCCCGTGGACCCACACAGGAGCGAGGAGCCAGAACAGCTGAAAAAGGGGAGCCACTCAGAGGCCAGTGAGTCATCGCAAGAGACCGGCGCAGGGCCCATCCCATGGGAAGTGTTTGCAGCACGGGCGGTGGGTGAGACGGGAACACCTGGAGAACACTGGGACACAGCAAGGACAGCTGACCTGCCCCCCAATCAGTGCAGGACCACTCAGAGGAGACTGGTCGGGAATGCAGAATTGCATGGGGTGCAGTTGGATGAAAAAACTCAGGCCCAGATCAGAGATTCTACAGAACACAGACCCACCGGGTCTCTGGAGATCCGGAAGTACCTATAAGGTCAACCATTGAATCCTGAGCTGCACAAAAAGCCTTCCCTAGGGAAACAGCAGCAAAGCAGCAATTTAAACAACCACACAGCTCAAGTACTGGTTCCCACAGGAAGTTCCCCTGTGTTAGAAGTAAGCAAAGGACAAAAAGTTGGTTCCGGCCCAGGAACACCAGCAATACCTTGAGGTCTACCATGGGACATGAGTCATGAGGCCTGGGGGAGGACCCACTCACACAACCAGCACCTTGGGACCCTGCCCAGGAACCCGAGGATTGGAGCCAGGACCAGACCCCACTCCCACATCCAGGCACACCACCAAAGCCTCAGGGCCTGCCAGGGGACATGGAGCTAGCAGCTGGGGACCAGACCTCCTTCCCAGACC